TCAATGACTTTGCTACTACTTCCATTTGAATACTTCCTGCATTACTTACCTCCTGTGTTCCTCCTAGTGTCTCCTCGTCTCCTGTTCCTCCTAGTTCCTGGATCGCTGAGGTGTGTGCTCCTCCTGTGTGCATTCCAGCTCCTGTAAATCCAAAGACTCTGATTACTCCACTCATCATATCCTTTGAACTGTTCTACGAACTATTCACGCACCATCACATCATCTGGACCCTACACCCGGACTCTCTGTGACCTAATAAAACCGTTTGTAAATACTAACCTGTTGTGTCAGACCTTTTCCGTTACAGTGTGTGTGTGATACATGCAAGAACAGCGTGTGAATGCTTGTGGACACGTATAAATAAATATGTACAGTTATACATATTGTTATATGTCAATTATAAAACACTTGCACGTTTCATTTCATTCAGCTGTCAAATTATCTGTTTGCATTAAACAAATTACAGTCCTTTCACTAACAAGAACTAAACAAATCTCTGACAGCTGTCAGATTGTGAATTGTTGTCTTAGTGTATGAGTGTTTCATGGTTTTTGGTAATTTTGTGAATCATGCATGTGTTCTGTCCAGATGAAACACAGCAGTGTCAAGCAGCTCTGTACCGTCCTCGGCTTCCTCTGTGTGACTTCACTTTTGCTGTGATTGATTACATAGCTGGAGGCTGGACCAGGCTAGACTATGGTGGGCAATTCTTTTTTTTTTTCTTTTCGTTTTCCTTCAACTTCAGATTTAACATGTTGAACTTGTTGTTATTGTCAGAGCAAATAATGATGTCTTGTGGAGTCTATGCTGTATGTCATTTTATATGTATTTGTCACGGTCGTCAAAAATCGTATAAAAACAACAGTGTTGGTGTAAAAAGAGTGTGTGGGGGGGAAGAAGAAGATAAAGAAACCACTATTAGAGTCATTTGTCCAGGAATCGGATTACAGTATGATTTTGATTCACTAAAAAGAACCACTCGTAAGAGTCATTTGTTCTTAAATCATCTCCACTGGCTGTGCTGTGGATTCAGTAGCGGTTTTGCAATGGCATTGAGTAAGTATTTCAGAATATTTTAGTACGGTATGCCAAACCAGCTGAGTGATAGCTCATGATAGCTGCTAGCATGTTAGGTTGCAAAGAAAATCATCAAAACAAGGTTTAACCGCACTGATAGTGAATGTATTGGTTATCTGCCACCAATGTGAAAATGATTAAAGGCATTCAGTCACACAAATACTGAACTGATACTTATGTGTAGATTTAAAATAGCTAAAAAATAAAATGTGTGTGAATATTTCACTTAAATAAATGTAGGCCTGACATTTATTTAATTGAGTGTTACAGCATGTGTTACTATCTGGCATAGGGACAGCAGTACCAAAATTCTGGAAAACATATACTTAGGTTTTTGACATTTATTAGACAGATAAAAGCATCTATTATTTTCAGTATTTGTGCAGCACAGCTAAAAAAAATGTTACAACTGTACTCACTTATTAAATGAGTAAACTGTCTACTTTTAAACAGAGCAGGAGTGTAACATTAAATGGACTCTGACAGTGCGTGATACTGAAAAGCAAAATTAGAAATAAGAATGTGACATTTTTAGTGAATAATTTAGTCATTTTTATGCTTCTATATAATAGCAGCAGTTGCGCTGATAATAGTTTCACTGCCTAGATTTTTATAAATATTATTAACACCACAAATCTTTGTTGTCATGATTTGAGATGAAATTCTGTGATGTAACAGAAAAAAACATAGCATGTCTGAGAGAGAGACAGTATTTGAACACCTCAGTATAGGCTTTGAAGTGTCGGACTTCTCAACTGGGCTGAGTGTGGAGTGGAGCGCTGAATTTCTCCTCTGACAGCTGATGAGGAGATGACTGCTAATTGTCACATCCTTCTTGTTCTTTGAAGTGTTAAAAGAGAAAATTTCCTATGATATGTTTGCTTCATTGAACTGCTTGAATGATTTTAACTCCCAGTGGTTTTTCTTGCATCTTTAAAATGGTTGTAAAAAAAATGCTGACAACATTTAGGCTGCGTTTGTATTTTTAAAATACTCTAACATACCAAACAAAGACCTGACAATGAAATATTGAGATATTAATGGAAGTCGTTTTTAGAAACCTCATAAGTAGACATCATATCAGACTAGGCTTTGTTTTTTAAGCTTTTTTTCCCCCAGCATGCAATAGGCATAAATGCTCAATGGAAAATAATATTTTATTTATTTATAACTATGCACCTCCCCACACAATTAATATGTACGTCATGAACAACATATGCACATGTGTAGGATGTTAATCAAGCAGTCGACAAAAGGTCAGTCAATGCGTTCCCATAAATAACAGTATTTTCCTTCTGTTATGATACAAAATGATTGGCAGATTTTTAGCAGGAACAACAACATCAAAAATCAAATGCACACGGAAACAAGCCATATGCTGCTCTTGCACTATTGCTGGGGTCGATTTTGATTGCTCTGACATACTGCCAATCCAACATCATTAAATAGAGCAATTAACATCATTAATTTTTCAGATTATTTGGATACCATGGCAGAATGTCCAGGGGAGGTTTAAAACCACCCATGGTGACAAAATAAATCGCGGACTTTGGCGCATGAATAGGTGATGGATTGCAGTGTGGGATCCCCTGCTCTGCTCTGATTGACAGGCCTGACATATGGAATAGTTCTGGTACTCTCCAGAGACTCGGAAAGAGTGAGAAAGGGTGGGAAAGAAAGAGAGAGAGTGTGAGAGGGGTTGGTGAGTGAGCCGCACTGCCTGCCAGCTCGAGAGGAGGAGGAGAGGGTGCTTTCTTACTACAATCTGTATTTCTGATCAAAGCAGCTCCAGATCTCACTCTATCTATCTCTAGCCTTCTCTCAGCCTGTCTCGAGCTTCCCTCCTTTCCATCTTACTGCATATTCCCTCTCTCTCTTGCTCTCTCGCTCTCTCACTCTCTAAATTTAGCACCAGAGGCAATTAGTGGTGAAGTGCTCAGAGCAAGATCTGCAACTGC